CATCCTCTCCATTTGAAATCGAGACACAAATTCCCGGAGTGTCTCGTTTATGCGCTGTCGGACCTTGAATAGGTCGGATTTCCTTGTTTCTACCCTGATCGCCCCGGCGTGAGCTTTCACGAAGGCATCGGCTAACATGGCGAACGAATCGATGGAATTTGGCGGTAAGTTATGATACCACGTCATTGCCCCCTTGGACAAGGTTTCTCCAAACTTTTTCAACAAAACTGACTCGATTTCATCATCTTCGAGATCGTTTCCCTTAATCGCGCATGTGTATGCTGTCACATGCTCGTTTGGGTCCGAGGTCCCATTATACTTCGGGATATCGGGCATTCTAAATTTCTTAGGGATAGGTTTTGGGGCGGCACTGGATGGGAACGGTTTTTGTACAAACTTTTTAGCGTCAAGGCCTTTCAGGACCGGAGGTGCACCTGGTATTTGGTCGACCCTGGAGTTGTATGTTTCTACTTTTTTATTGTTGGCCTCGATCTTTTCCTCCCCCTTTTCGATTCGTTCGGTCAATTCTTCTAGCCTCCTAAGAACCGCAGAATCAGCATCCGGCCCACCCCGTTCCGGCTGTACTGGGGTCGGATTGATGATTGCAGCTGCACGGGGAGCCTCCTCGGACCTGACAGGCTCCTGGACCCGGCTCTGGAGCTGAGCTATAGCCGATTGCTGGGCTTGCAGCATGTCAAAAATCATTTTAAGGTTGATAGTCTCTTCGCCGACTGCCTGGGCCCTCGAATCGTCCTCTCCCCGGACGCTATGTGATGATCCGGAGGCCTGATCAGTGTTGAGCGCCATCCGGGAATCGGCATCTATCGGGTTTTCGAGCCCGGGCATTCCATTGTTTCCTGTCTGCTGTTCAAGTTCGTTGTTGATTGATTGTGCCATTCTATGAGTTGGTAATTTGAATGTAAGATGGACTCTTTTGCAAAGAACCAGTGTATTGTGATGCGTCAAGAAAGAGTATCAAAGAGCTCACTAATATCCTTAGCCCCACGGTGGGCGCCAAACTGTTTACCCTGGAATCCGGATAACAATTGAATTTATATGGGGTTTTAAGGATCCGTGAACTAAAAGATACAAAAGGTTTAGATTGAGGAAAATAAAAGATAAAGACTCAACAATTGCTGTTAAAGTAAATAATCGCAGAATATAATATCGCTTAGAACAATTGTGCTTGATAGCGTACAAGAATTGAGAGAGATGGTACTGTAGTGTAATGATTTCCGATGCCCTCTTTATGGGGTCTTCTCCCCTTTTATACATTCTGATTAAGGGTAAAAATAAGGTAGGTAAATCAATTACATCGTGGATCCCTGTAATTACGCCTTAATGGCCTGAAGTGGTTGAGAAAATCACGTTTGGGCGAGATATCCGGCGACGCTTGGTTATCCGTTACGAGTCCGGCTTCCGACCTTGTGTGTTTCTCCATCCGGTGGTGACTCATATCGAGCTCTGCAACGGTCTCGAAATGACTTGACCTCGGTTGTAGACGTGGCCGTCGTTCTACCTTGCATCCAGGTCGGGTTCGATGGCCCCGACTTGCCCCGGACCGGACCCAACCCGGTCGGGCTCAAGCAAAAAAGGGTATCACCCAATACACGAATAAAGGAACATAGTCCAACTATTACACTAAGAAAATTTATTTGAGTAGAAAATACACGTCACCATAGCAAAATCAAGTTATAAAGGCAAAAAATGACTAAAGAATGTGAAAATGACTTTTTTAAATAAGCAAGAATATGACAATGGCATTGAAAGACAAAATTTATAGCAAATGGCTAGTAGTCGAAATAGATAAACTGTGATCATGTAAAGATAAAATACTAAAATTTACATTGCAATGCATCATTCATTTGGAAGAAGCTAAAATTGAATTTCAAAAGTGAGTACATTAGAGTTTATGAATGTACCAAAAAGATCAATTATGCATATTTTACCTGATGTAGTGTTTCCTTATTACAGCAAAAATAAACTCCTACACTTAAGGTAATTACATTTCCTTTTTACCTTAACAATTTATGAGATCTGTTTCAAATTTCCCAATAAATAGATGCATGGATTAAAATAACTAAGAAAATCTCTTCTTGCCACCTACTTTTCCAACTTCACATCAACTTTTTTTCACACCCATATTTTCCCGATCCCTTGATTTGTGCATTATCATATTATTATGTGTTTGTTCAAGAGTTAATTTTACTTGCGTATATTACCTAGTGAATTCTCACTTCCTTTTTGGTTTAAAATTTAACCTTGTACGTCAATAGTTAAGAATACTAAAGGAAAAATGATGTTAGTAGAGTTTGATAATGCTTCTTTCTGTTCTTATAGTGAAAATATCATTAAAGAATATTTTTACTAAGATACATAGTTTTTTACCATCCTTTATTTTTACACGATTTTAGTGTTTGTCTACTTCTTTTAAATCTAAATTTCAATATTCTCGTTTTATTAATTTCTTTTAGGTCTATGCGTGTTAGCTTACTTTCGACTGTAAATATGTTAGGTTTTTCACACATAGAATCGATAATATACTATTTTTTTTCCTATCCACATCATAAACTTTAAGTAAATTTATAATTCATGAATGTTGTAGTTTATTACTTGAAGCTTCTACTGCCCATGTCCGATGTTCCGTTTCAATAGTAATAAATTATTTAGTTAACTATTCTATTACTCTCGATTTTTTTTTCGTTCTTCTATTCTTGTATATATCTCAATGCAGTAATTCTAATATGTCAACTTTCATGAGTCCTGTTAATCAGAATTAATTGTGTACTACTACCATGTTATCAACGTATCAATAAATTAACGCAAAATAACAACATATCTTATGAATTTAACCAAAATATATTCCAAATTCCTGCAAAGAGAAAAAGTTAATATCACACATAGATATATGAAATTTACTCCGCATGATTATAATTCTAAATATAATTATGAAAATACATCTTTTCCATAATATCCGTGGAAACACAAAATCATAATATCAAGCATAATTAATGGTAAATATTAGTAATAGATTATACTTCTCTCAAGAGACATGAAATTTACAAATAGTCATTAAAAATAAATAATATCTCAATTAAATATAAACAATATTTAATCTCATGATAAAATAACTTTCAAGCACAAGCGCACGATTCTTTCAGATAACATAGTTTAATTATATCATTCCCCAACTCCAAAGTAAACTTTCCCATACTCTTATACATGTACTATTGTATGTGTCAATTAATAATTCTAATTTAGCAATTAAATAACAAATTTATTCATAGCATTACTAATATATTATTCCTACACAAAACAAATATGCATTTCAAAATTATCACGTTAGAGATATTTATCCTAATATTGTCACCAATTTATTCAATGTTAATCGTTTTGATGTTGTCAAAAGAAAAAAAACTATTAAAGCGAAGTAACGTAAATTTCTTCAGCCGTATGATTTATTTTTCAAATTGCCTAACAAACAATTGTTTTGGATTCTTCTTCTCCACATCAAATTTCAAGAAGTGTTGCTTTGTAAATTTTCTCTAATATCCATGATTTTTTGGACTCAGTACCATGCAAAAAAATAACTGCTATTTCCAATTGGTTTTGTCCATCTATGATTGTGATGATGAATAGTTTCCACGCTGGCATATGCACCTTATTTTTGTATGTTTCATATCTGCTTCTTTCTTTTATGCCTTTCTTCATTAATTTCTTGAAGAGAAATGTGTTCTTCAACTAATAAGTTTTCAATTCAAAAGTTCCATTATTTACTCCACTTATAGCACATATGTATAAAACAAAAAGAATTTACCTAATAATATAGTGTAATTATTCGGCAAAAGGTTATCTATTGATACCCTTGATTAAATCATTTTGTGGAGAACTCTTATCTCCAACTGCTCCTCAAGATTTCTTCTTCCATACTATGGATGACATCTTTGTACAACTCTGTGTTACCAGAGCATCTTTTTTAAAAGATAAAACACTCTTTCCAAGAGTCATGTTGTATAAGTGCTATCCAAGGGGTGCGACTGTTAATTCTCTTCTTGAGAATTAGTTAATCGGTGTCATTTTGTAGTAGTAGGGAATTTAATTTATTTAGAAGGTTTTTCATTTATCTTTTTTTGGTGAAGGGTAAAATTGTCATTAGATTTTGATGGGTATTTAAGTAATTTAATTTTAGGCTTAAAGGCTTCTCACTTTTAAAATAGTATAGATAGTAGTACAATTTAAACTCCATCTTATTTTTGACGGTGTTTTTATTCTACTTATTCTCTCAATAAGCTATGTGTTCAAAGTATATTTTACTAGTTTGTATGGATCCTCAAGGGCTCAAATTTGTAAAGAACTTATCAATGATCATCAATAGATCTTTCTGAGCTATCTTTTTGTCACTCTCTCACCATTATTTATTGTATCATTTTTCTCACATTCGATCCATAATTTGGCTCCCATTGAGGGCCCTAACAACAAACTTTTACTTTTGATAATTTGTTCCTAAATATTATTTTAATCAAAATAAGTGTTCTTTAGAAAATCAAGAACAAGTTTACGTTTTTTTTCTTCAAATTTATCTTGCTACAGTAAATGACTATACAATATTTGGAAAAATATCTTACTAATTATTATTACTCATATTGACGAGAGATAAATGCTAATCTAATCAAATGACTCTTACAATTAATATCATAAATTTCTTAATAACTATGTCGAAACTCCATTTAAAAAAGACCGGAGACAACGCAATTCTACCAACCAAAACGACTTACGTTGAATGGTTATGTCCAGAAAGGATTAGTAAGGGAAGATTATACTCCATTTTAGTATAGTCACGACTCTAGCCACAAGTCACAACTTACCATAACAATTGACAAATTCAGGTGAAGCCTCTAGAGACAATTAAAGCTGGCCGCTGGGGCCGCGTAATTAAACAAACAGTCGGCCTCATACATTACAACTACTTTTGTTCATTAGCTAAATATAATTGCTTCTTCATCTATATTTTGAAAAACAACGCCAGCTTTCAAAAACCAACAGCTATCGTAACCTTTCTTAAACTCTCTAAGCCAGCTTAAACCTTCTTTTTATAAACTGTTAAATCTCTCTCCTCTTTCCTCGTCATGTCGAAGCCATACTTAATTAGCTTAGTTCACATTTTCCAAGAAAATTAAAATTCTGTCAACAATATATTCGACAGCACTTTCTCCTCCGGCGGCAATGTGGAATCTCCGGTCTCTCTCATGCTTATTGCTCCTCTGCTTTTCGGTCACGACGACAGTTGCTGCTCAAAGTACTAACAATGCAACCACTAAATGGCTAACATTAAACGGTAACTTACTTTTTTTACTTCTCCTCTGTACTTAACTACTACGTTGCTTAGTTGTTCACTTTCCACAATTGGAATGGTTTCACTTCAGTTTTGAGTCTCTTGATCAATGAGCTGAATATTCTACTAGATTTACATTATTTAGGAAATTTTAAACTTTCTACATTATCCCCCAAAGTTCGCTTTAGCGCTTGAGTAACCGAAAGAAATTCTGATAACAATCTGAGGATGCTTTAGAGTTTTTTCACTTAAGATGTGTTTGGTACCAAGGAAAATACAGGAATATTTTCAGGTGTTTAGTAAGTAAGCATAAGATATTGTTTCAAGAGCATTTATATATTTTTTGATAATCTATGCAAGCACTATGGGGGTGGGGTGAGGGCATGGGTGGTGTGGGTGTCGGGGGGGGGTAGGGAAGGGGTAGGGGGTGGTGGGTTGTTAAGGGGGGGGGGGTGTGGGGGTATGTGGGCATGGATGGGTGTGGGTTGTCGATGGGGTGGGGTGAGGGGGGAGGGGGAGGTGGCGCGGCAGGGTTAAGGGGGGTGAGGGCATGTGTGGTGTGGATTTCAGTGGGTGGGGGTGAGGGGGGTTCGCAATGGGGTGTCGGGGTTATGGTAGGGGTGGGGAAGATTTGGGGGGTCGGGTGGCAGGGTTAGGGGAGGGGTGAGGGGTGAGGGCATGGGTGGTGTGGGTGTCGACGAGGTGGGGGTGAGGGGGTTCGCTATGGAGGGAGGGGGAGGGGTGGCGGGGACAAGGGTTAGGGGTGGATGGGTCGGGGTGGCAAGGTTAAAAGGGGGGGGGGTGAGGGCATGGGGTGATGTGGGTGCCAGTGGGGTGGGGATGGGGGGTTACGGGGCAAGGTGGTAGGGGTGGGGAGGTTTTGGGGGTCTGGGTGGCAGGGTTAGGGGAGGGGGAGGGTGACGGGGTTTTGCATGGGGAGTAGGTGGGTCAGGGTGGGAGGTGCTAGGGGGTGAGGGTCGAGTGGGGTAGGACGTTGGTGAGGTGGCATGGGGGTGGAGATGGGGCTTTGGGGGTGGAGAGTAGACAATCAATGTAAAATGACACTTATGCAACTTATTTTGCTGAAAAAATATTTTCCAAAATACTTTAACCAATCAAACATGAGAAAATTAGAAAATATTATTTTTTCCTCCATATCAAACACACCCTTAGAGTTTTATTTCTATGGAAAGTGTAAAATATATTTATACCATTAGATCACCTAAAAGGTAAAGGAAAATAACTCTATTTTAATACCATCGATTGATAAGATAGAATAAATGGTAAGTAATCTACTATAACAGGTTAAGTTACACTGATGATGTAAAGAATCTGATAACGTATATAACTTGAATCTTTTTACTAAAAATTTATAAGGGACTTAGTTCAGCTGAAGCTAAAAGCTGGATCAACCATGTTATTAGTACCTGTATAACTGTACCGTTGAGAATAGCAGTAATGTAAATGTACAAGAGGAGCCACTTGTGTCGTAAAATTTTTGCCATTGCTGGTTGTTGATATGATGCTAATGACTAAATATTGGTGATAAAGAAGCCTAATATTGGTTTCACTATAACCAAGAGCTCAAAAACTAAACCAATTTTTGCGAATTGACCTTCTGTTTCTGTTGCTTTGTCCTGGGATCTAGATTTTGGGGTTCGTTTCTATGATATCATTTCTTCAAACAACTGGAATGAGAAGTTCTCCTTTCATTAGAAACTGAACACAGCCTTTTGGCTCCGCCAAAGAAGAATTAAAAGAATGAGACCCCTGATTATGAGGAAAGACTCTAAACAGAGTGAAAAGATTAATCCATTAGCTTTCCACATATTTTTTACAATGTTTCACAATCATTATAGTGTTTTTGTCTCTGCTTTGCAGGAGATGCACCATTAGTTATAGCCCGTGGTGGATTTTCTGGATTATTTCCTGATTCAAGCTATGATGCCTATATGGTGGCAATGGAAACTAGCTTGGCCAATGTGATTGCTTGGTGTGATGTCCAACTAACCAAAGATGGGGTCGGCATCTGCTTACCTGACCTCAAGCTTGACAATGCTTCCGACATTGATGTGTACTTCAAAAACAAGAAGAGTAAATACTCAGTGAATGGAGTTCCAATGCAAGGATGGTTTTCTATAGATTTCAACTTCAAGGATTTGGCGCCTGTCACCTGTAAGTTGTAACTTATGGGATTTTGGTTGTGTCGTTCACCAGTATGTTCCACATATTATGGTCTGCAACTCCGCATGGCTTTATGTGCAAGATTCTGGAATTAATGTCCAAGAATAGCGATTATGCTGAAATATCCACTCCTATGTTTTGAATAATATAACAAATTAATTGTAGGCGCTTCAGATTCGTTAGTCTTAAAAGGTTACTCAGATTCTTCTTTCTTCCTTTTTTCTGCTCTAAATAATTTGGATTTCTTAGAGGAAAATGGAATCTGTAGTTAGCATCAAAACAGATCTATAGCTTTGCTCATTTTTGGTGCAACCGGGCTATTGCAAATGACATAGAATGCCACGGTTGATTTCTTGAGCTCATTACGCATTCTGTAATGTAGCTATCTCTTGTAAATATTCTACAGCACTTACTTGTTGCTTTATTTCAATGAATTACTTTTACCAAAAAAAAAAAAAAAAACACAATAATTTGGGGTTCTGCCATGTCGGTTTTTCTTTTTCTTTCCCAAAATGGCATGTTAGACTCCACATGGTATATTTCTTTGCTCATCACTGATAGAGGAACTCTTTGATGAATTGCAATAAAAAGAAGGTGTGGATGATTGTATCAAACATAACTTTTTCTAGGTTTATAGGTTTATTAACATTTAGTGTGGCCACATCTTTCTAAAGTGGACTCCTCGGTGAAATGTGAATTGGCATGATTGTAAGTTGCTTGAGAGCATAATATGCTAGTATTTGTAGTAAATAATCCAGTTGCATACCTTTTACCCTACACATGATTTTTATGTTTAAATCAAAGACAGGAAAGCCAGTAATGGTACCTGATAACCCGATTTTTTAGACAAAAACCTGCCGTAAATTTTAAAATTGGTATGACAAATTATGTTGGTTATATAATCTAGAGAGCATAGCCTAGTTAGAGATGTTAAGCCTTTGTGCTTGTACAAGTTACTTCCGGTGACTGAAGTTTCTACACAAAATATTAATTACTTTGCTTTCCGGACAGTGAGACAAGGAGTTTTTTCGCGGACCCCTAAATTTGATGGCACACAGCAGAAAATTCTTACTGTCCTGGATGTGGTTGGCAAAGTCAAACCTCCAGGATTATGGTTGAATATCCAGGTACTTGTTCAATTTTGAAACGTTTCTACATAGTGATTGTTGTCTGGTGTTAATTTATTTCAGTTTCTTTCCATCTAAACCAATCAATTTATAGTTTGTGTTGTTACAATATATTGCTGAATATCACCTGCATCTTGTTAAAATAATGCCTTGAGCTTGTGTCGGTACTGCATTTAATGATCCCGTGTTTTACGAATCCTTTTTGCAGCATGACACCTTCTTCAGCCAGCACAATCTGAGTATGAGAAGCTTTATTATATCCCTGTCCAGAAGTGTTATCGTCAACTATATTTCATCACCTGAGGTGGATTTCCTCAAAAGTATTGTGTCACGATTCAATCCACGAGTTACAAAACTCGTTTTCCGGTTTCTTGGACACGATGACATTGAGCCTTCAACAAATCAAACGTATGGTTCTTTATTGAAGAATCTCACATTTATCAAAACCTTTGCCTCTGGAATTCTTGTTCCCAAATCTTATATCTGGCCCGTGGACAACTCACTGTACTTGCAGCCACATACATCACTTGTCTTAGATGCTCATAAAGAAGGTCTTCAGATTTTTGCATCGGAGTTCGTAAATGATATACCTTTTGCTTACAATTACAGCTATGATCCTGCAACTGAGTATTTGTCCTTTATTGACAATGGCGACTTTTCTGTGGATGGAGTATTGTCTGACTTCCCAATAACTCCATCAGCTACAATAGGTAACCATGCTACAATTGATGAATAACAAAATCCGTTAATGTAAGCTTGTATAGTTGCTTTCATAATTTTAGTTGCTCAGTTTAGTTAATTATCTTGATTGTGAATAGTGATGACTTGTTGGGGATATCTTCAATTTACTGCAGAAGTTCATGCATTTTTCAACAATTATTTCCAGTTTGTGAATATCTTATTGTGCCCTTGGTGCAAAGTAAATCTAGGTAACTCCATACTTTCTGGAGGCTGAAATTGTGCTGGTTTACAACGCGTGAATAGTTATTGGAACTGCAATTGGGGCGTTCTGGACTTTGGAAATGCATAGGCTAATCATAGAGGAACAGAAATAATATATCTTTTCTACACATGTGAGATATGTGGAGTCAAATTCATAAGAGTTATAAAGTGCAATAACTTTTTTTGCAGTGATAAGCTTTGTGCTATCCTTAATTTGAGTATAGAAACAGACCTGAAAGCAAAAACAAGTAGCGTTCTTTAAGATAAATTGATCATTGATATCAACGAGGAGATATTGGACACACTTGATTTGTAAACGGTGTGAATTGTGATAAGTGAAGGTGTTCACAGAGTAACTCTTTTGCATTTTATATTCATGGACACTTTCAGTTGGCCTTGAAACTTTATGCTTTTTTGCTTTCTACCATGATACTCATCATTATTCCCATTCTTTCTGTCATTGCAGATTGCTTCACTCATTTGGGCAAGAATGATAAACCTCAAGGTAAGCTACTAATGTATGCTCTTATTTTTGTGAGACTGGTATGTTGTTTTGCTCAGTAGATAGCTTTTATACCCAAAATGTGAAAGTGCAAACCATTATCTTGCATTACTTTTGCGCTAGTCCTGTACTCAAGGTTGAAATGGACTGGAAAAGGTTTGATTCTTGAAATTCCGAATTGTAGATTGGCTCTCTTGTCTAATTAAATGAGCTTATCTAGGTGGAGCTTGGTTTCAAATTACAAACCCAGAATAGAGACTCTTCTATGAAGGTATAAGCAAAGATTTTGAGAATTATATTGTCTTGGAGATACTTTAGTTTTTCAGGAGAAAATAACTATAACATTTGATGAGTCATGTGAATCCAAGCTAGCACTTGTAGAGCTTGGCGCAACTATGTGACCATGCTCATATCTCGAGGTGGATTCAGTTGTTCTTCTATGGATCAGACATAGTTTGACTTACCAAGATTCTCTTATTAATAGGTGGCTCTGCTGCTTTAGTTTTCCTACTGTGTATTTATTGTTTTCATTACAGTTTGTACAGGACAATATATCTCAGTCTTTCCTCATTTCTTGTTGGCCTACAGCAAAGCTTCTGATTATCACATCTGAAGGAGCGAGTGGGGACTACCCGGGTTGTACTGATTTGGCATATACAAAAGCTGCTATGGATGGTGCAGATGTTCTTGACTGTCCTGTCCAAATGGCAAAGGATGGAATACCCTTTTGCCTGGGTTCTATGAATTTGATAGATAAGACTACAGTTGCTCAATCGTCATTCGGCAATATTGGTAGTGCTGTCCCAGAGCTTAACATAACAAATGGAATATTCACCTTTAACCTTACTTGGGATGAGATTAAGAGCCTGAAACGTAAGTGGACCAACTTGCATTTTGTTTATTATTATTTTTTTGGATAACCATGGTGGGGATTTGAACCAACTTTCCTTTATAGTAATAGATGCTGCAGCTTTTCAAACTAAACGTCTACTGCCTTCAAGTTTTCTGGATGTAACATAGTATGTTTCAAGATAATAGTTGTTGATTCATATGCAAGTTAATGGGCTGAATTCAAACTTATCGCAAGAAATCGGCTTGTGAATTGTCATTTTCTTTGTTTGCGTGTGAATAATATAGGTGTATATGTGTCCTCTTAACACTTATAAGTTTAACTTCTAGTCTAACATGAATGTTAACCATCAAAGTGCTCTATAGTTGTATCGTACTACAACAACAACAACAACAACAATGCCTTAGTCCCAAACAAGTTGAGGGGTCGAGGATTAGGGTTATGGGTTGATAGGCAGTCTAGAGTTTCGTCTAGGCATCCCATTAGTATTAGTACTAGTCTTGTATTTTTCTATGCCTAGCCCCTTGCTATTTCATATTGTGTTATTAGCAAGACTGAATCTACTTTTATAGTGCCGTATTCTTAGATATCTGTTGTTGCACGTATCTTCATTTGTGCCCTTGTCTAACCATTTAAATCCATCTCAGGCCAACAATATACATCTGTACCGTACTACTGAAGTATTAAACTATATCGATTTGCCTAAGAGAGTTTCTGGTGCCATTCCTAACTATAATTGTTTTTCCTATAGAAGACTTTCAGTCTTTTGATATATAGAAAAGAAACCAATGTATGAGGACCATTCAGCTTTTTCGTCTGTGGCTTGTTAAATTGAAATTGCATGCGGCTAACTCTCAGGGAACAATGTAATTGTGCTTTCATGTTTTAAGTTGGTTTTTACCATTAACATTACAGCTACTATGTATCTTCTCGACTATCATCTTCTTTCTGAATGAGAGAAGATGTCACACAGGATGGATTCTCTATTTCAGCTTTTAAGAACCTCTATGCACAGATATGTACCTGTTTTTGTCATACTATATTTTGCAAACTGCTTAGCATAGAACTTTTTAATCTCATACTTCATCATGATGATTCTTTTCTGATGTTGTTCTTCTCCAAGACATTTGATATTTTGGAGAGTACATCACCCGAATCTCCCCCTCCTCCTTATCTGCAAAGGTTTCGGATAACAATTGTGATTTCTAGCTGCCAATGCTTCAATCCTGTACTTAACATGCCTTAATTTCTTGTAGCGGCAATATCAAACCCATGGTCAGAGTTTAGATTGTACCGAAATCCAAAAGCCAGAAATGACGGAAGATTTGTGTCGTTAGTGGATTTCTTGACATATGCAAAAAATGCCACAACTGTATCTGGTGTGATGATCAGCATAGAGGTGAGTTTATTTCTGCTGGTTCTGTTGACATTGTTAATACCAATTACATTATGTATCAGCAAACAGAAAGTTCATATTACACCTAAATGCGTATATCCGTTCTGCAGTAGTTTTATTCGACGTCACATAAATTATGAGAGTTCGAAAAAGGGCTTTACAATTCCATGAAGGCAAAGAAAATACCAAGAGACTTTTGGAATATGAATGTAATAATTTTTAACTTCAGTTGTTGACATGATGAGTTTTTCCCTAAATAGAAGAAATCTTTTTTGCTCTTGTGGTTTGTGTTTCACACTCAATCGGCACTGAGGGATGGAAAAAGAATGCCTTGAAGTGGAATATTCCAAAACGCAAACGGCAAAGTGTTTCTGATAATTTAAGAATAAAGTCTTCCCTTAAAGATCCATTATTCATCTATTTATTTCATGTGATAACTCTTTATGTTTGGGGATGGCTTGTGGGTATGGGAGTAAACGTGGATGCAACTTTCAGAGCGAAGCTAGAGGAGGGAAGGCAGACAAATTTGACGCAGTGTTGGTAATTATGAAAAGCAAAGATTTTATTTTTCCCTCTTAAGATAATGTTCACGTAAAAAGTTAATTCTTTCCTCTTAATATCAATGTTCACATTCCAAAAAGGAAATCATGGGCAATTACAAAAAGTAATCCTGTTGCTTGCTTAATTAGTAAACATATCTGCCCTCTCACTAGTTTTATGCTTTAGAAGGTCTATCATTTGCTGTTATTGCTCAGTTTACCCATTAGAAGTAAATTATGAACATCTGTTTACTGTATGACGGTTAATAAGTATTAAAGATATGCTTTTTAAAAAATTTAAAAGTTGTCCATATAGATGTATAGCTGACAGTCTTCAATTTCTTTTACGAAGAAGCAAACTTTAGTGCCAGAAGGAAGCAACAAAATCCATACCAGTTCATTTTTTTATTTGACAATGGTCTGGTACTTGTGCAGAATGCAGCTTACCTGGCAAAGCATGGATTTGGTGTAACTGCTGCTGTTCTTGAAGCCTTGAGCAAAGCTGCTTACAATAATCAGACAGCCAAGAAAGTTATGATCCAATCAACTGACAGTTCGGTTCTGAAAGAATTTAAGAAAAGCCAATATGAACTTGTTTATAGGGTTGCTGATGATATCAGTGATATTGAGAGCTCAACTATATCCGAGATCAAGAGCTTTGCTAGTTCTGTAATTGTAACCAAAAAATCTGTTTTTCCAAGCGAGGAACAATTTCTCATTGGGCAAACAGATGTGGTGCAGAAGCTGCAGTCATCGAATCTCCCAGTGTACATAGGACTCTTTAATAATGAGTTTGTGTCTCAAGCATGGGACTTTTTCTCAGATTCATCTGTCGAGATAAACAACTATATCGCTGGAGCTGGTATTGATGGTGTTATAACAGAATTTCCCGGCACAGCTGCTAGATACAGAAGTAAGTAATTCCTATAGCTTGTTTTTACTCCCATTGGATTCCATCCCCAGCTTCTCTTCCCTTATTTCCTCCCTCCTCTCTGAAGTACAACTGCTATCTGCCATGTCTACTCGTATTTTCTGGAGATTTTGCTTGGTCTTTGTAATCTAAATTATAATTGGAAACACTATACTAGTAGACATCAGAAGCTTATGTATCAAAGTAAAATTACTACTGATTTGGACAAGTAGGAATTATATTTGGAAATAACACTGATTTGGGCAGTATGGATTCTATTTTGGACAATGGTACTGATTTGTGGAACTTCTGGGTTACAGGGAACCGTTGTTTGGGTTACAAAGAACGACCACTGTATCTTAGCCCTGTTGAACCTGGAGGTCTCCTACAATTCATGGCTCCTCAGTTATTGCCAGCAGCTGAAGCTCCCAATCCAATACTTACTGAAAGTGACGTGGTTGAGCCACCTCTACCTCCTGTTGCAAAGATCACTCCTACTGCTGGCAATGAGTCTATAGCTGCAGCTCCCGCCCCTCCAAGTGGTCAATCCTCAGTTGTGGCTGGCGTTTTCATAAGTTGCGTCGCCATTCTTCTTGCCAATCTTCTGATCTTTTGATCAAATCAGATCATTTGTGCCTCAGTGAGATCATATGGTGCACTTTATATGTCCATTTTGCTGATCAACTCATGTTATTGCTGAAGCCATGCATGACCGCGACAGTAGTCTATGCAAAGAGAATAGAAGAGGGAAAATAACGTGATTGTTATATTGGTTGTATCGCTGAGTATGTAAAGAGTCTGTACAACAATTAAATCAACAACGATTAAGTTGAAAAAGATAAGGACTATAAAAAAGAGCCCAAATAGGAGGAGAAAGTTACAACAAAATCCTAAAGATTAAGAACTACAAAAAATAAAAATCTGGAGCAGTAAGGTATTAGGCATAAGGTAATCATTCATTACTACGCACCCGTAAGTGGGTGGTGTCAACAACACCCAACTTGGAAAGTTGCTTGACAAAGGAGGTTTGTTGGAAGTATATCTGCTACTTGATTAGCCGAGTGAAGGTGTTGAACTTCAATAGCCTTGTTTTAAACTTATGCATGTCAATGTCAAGTCATCCAATGTCATATTACCGTCTAGCATGAAGAAAATACATTTCTCTGCCTACATGTCAAATATACATGTCAAGTCATCAAATGTCATATTAGCATCTAGCATGAGGAAAATACATCTCTATGCCTACATGTCAAATATTACATGTCAAGTAAATAATTTCACAGTGATATTATCAAGTGCACTTACTCTTAGCACACTCAAGGTGCCTGGCGCAGATGGCCCACTTCATCACACACACACAATCACTCAGCACTGTACGAGTGCCCGACATCAATGCTCCTCATAAAGTACGTGTATATATATCACAATGCTTGCGATCACTGCGAATGTCAGACTCCAAAGGGGCGGATCCTGGCCAAGCGCTAATCAATAACACATAGACCAAATGTAATAGCAACATGCTTCATCCAACTATGGAATGCGGGATTGGCACAAATGTAAGTGGTGCTGACATTGTCACAAAAGATTTGAGGAGTGGTTGAAATATGATAGTGAAGCTCATGAGGTAAACTTATTGATCTCTGAAACAGTAGCTGCAATGGATCTGATATGCTTCAGTCGGTTATATTGAATAGTTTTTAGTGTTTTTAACATTTAGCTTGTAAATTAGTTTCTACCTCAGTTAATTGGCCCGAAATATCACCCGAGTGTTGTGAATGAGTTTGAGTGAAATGTCAAAACTCAAAAGTTGAGCGACTTTTCTGTTGTAAAATAAAGAAAAGTGACTTTTTTACACAATTTCATTAGTTGAGCGAGCAATCAACTCCATTTCATGTGCATAGCATATTTCTTGATATAGCTTATGGCTTAAGGTCCCTTTTCGTTGTTTGATTAGGAAGTTCAGTTCCTCGCTGGACACCTAGAGGTTGCCAGCATCGGAAAGTCATCACTTTCTTCCTATATTCTTGCATTTCGTAACCGGAAAAGGGCCTGATATATTCCTCTACTTTGTTTTATTGTTCAAGCCTATCCCCCGTTATACTTTCCGTCCAAATTTACCCCTGCCGTCCATCAAAGTTCTATATTTGCCCCTATTTTAACGGCCGGGACACGTGGCACATTCTGAATACGGAAAAGGGCCTGATATATCCCTATACTTTATTTTATTGTTCAATCCTATCCCTCGTTATACTTTCCGTCCAAGTTTACCCATGCCTTCTGATCACGCCCAACTATGCCTTATAAAAAGGACAATGCGGTCGTTGCAAATATAATCCGGTTTACAAGTCCGGAGTCGAATCCCACAGAGAACTAAGGTTTAGCTACAACTGTTCACTATCACCAAGAAGAAAAGCTTGAACAATTCCTAACTTATAGATATTAAGATTCTTCTGTTTAACTAATTAACTAACAAATTAAAATAGTAAATTAACAACTAACGATACTGAGGGTTATAGAAAAGATTAAGGAGGTCTAGAGTTATGATTTCCCCTATTGTCGGAATCCTTCCCGCTATGTCTTGGTATAATTTCGCCTAAGTATTCTCTATCGATCATGAGAACTCTTATTACCGTAAATCTCTCCCGAGTAATTACGACAATTTACTAGACGCACTCTCCCGAGCTACGCTAGCTGGCTTTTAATACAGCTCACTTCAGATCGCACCCAAGGCTTCGTTATCCCTAATCCCACCTTTAAACCCTCGGTTATTGATCCCTCATATACTCTGGGAGTGGTGTTGTTCAACAATTACCTAAATATGCACTCTCTCCCGAGTTATGCATACTAAATAGGCACAGCTAATTGAGAGCTCTTCAATCAACCAGAATATAAACGTAGTTGAACAAATAGAGAAAAGCTATGGCTCAATTATATAAAAACATAACAAGAATTTATCCTACAAAAGGTTCTATCAAAACTCTAGATAACAAATTAGCTATTCATAATAGTATGTAAAACTACAATACTAAAAGTCATAACCAACAATGAAAAATAGGAAGAGGAAGGAAAAAACTCGTAGAAGAATTATCCGCCTTGCTCCCAATGTGTTCTTGCCTCCAAGGGTGTTGTCTAACCCTAAAGTAGTGTCTCTCCGCCTCCTTAGGTCTAATTTGTGTCCAAAATATGTCCTCTTCTCCAAAATATGTTCGATCCTCCCAAAGTGGCGTCCTCCCGTGTATATATACCAAGAAGGGTTAGGCCCAAACAATTATACCTTCTCCAATGTGAAAAAAGACACTTTTCCCGGGTCAGACGCGCGACTTCGCGCGGTCTTCGCGCACCTTTCTGCNCTACGCTAGCTGGCTTTTAATACAACTCACTTCAGATCGCACCCAAGACTTCGTTATCCATAATCACACCTTTAAACCCTCGGTTATTGATCCCTCATATACTCCCGACAATGCGGTCGTTGCAAATATAATCCGGTTTACAAGTCCGGCGTCGAATCCCACAGAGAACTAAGGTTTAGCTACAACTGTTCACTATCACCAAGAAGAAAAGCTTGAACAATTCCTAACTTATAGATATTAAGATTCTTCTGTTTAACTAATTAACTAACAAATTAAAATAGTAAATTAACAACTAACGATACCGAGGGTTATAGAAAAGATTAAGGAGGTCTAGAGTTATGATTTCCCCTATTGTCGGAATCCTTCCCGCTATGTCTTGGTATAATTTCGCCTAAGTATTCTCTATCGATCATGAGAACTCTTATTACCGTAAATCTCTCCCGAGTAATTACGACAATTTACTAGACGCACTCTCCCGAGCTACGCTAGCTGGCTTTTAATACAGCTCACTTCAGATCGCACCCAAGGCTTCGTTATCCCTAATCCCACCTTTAAACCCTCGGTTATTGATCCCTCATATACTCTGGGAGTGGTGTTGTTCAACAATTACCTAAATATGCACTCTCTCCCGAGTTATGCATACTAAATAGGCACAACTAATTGAGAGCTCTTCAACCAACCACAATATAAACGTAGTTGAACAAATAGAGAAAAGCTATGGCTCAATTATATAAAAACATAACAAGAATTTATCCTACAAAAGGTTCTATCAAAACTCTAGATAACAAATTAGCTATTCATAATAGTATGTAAAACTACAATACTAAAAGTCATAACCAACAATGAAAAATAGGAAGAGGAAGGAAAAAACTCGTAGAAGAATTCTCCGCCTTGCTCCCAATGTGTTCTTCCCTCCAAGGGTGTTGTCTAACCCTAAAGTAGTGTCTCTCTGCCTCCTTAGGTCTAATTTGTGTCCAAAATATGTCCCCCTCTTGTTCTTGGCCGGCCTCCTTTGTTTAATATAGGATTTAGGACTTAAAATCCCATGTTCTGCACTTTAGTCCCTGAAATTTTCGCTTCCTGCCGCGGTTTTGCCGCGGTCGCGGTGGAACCGCGGCCAAACATGCCCTCTGATTCTTCAGTTGTCCGCGACCATCTTCTACCGCGGTTCTGCCGCGGTCGCGACAAAACTGCGATTTTTCACCCTGTTCCATTTGGAATTTGGAAAAACGTAAAACATGAAAGTTGTAGCTCTTTGAGTTAGCTTTCCAACCATATATTGTGGAGCCCAAATGGAGTTCTGAGCAAAAAGTAATGTCTATTTTACTAGACAGTGCGCAATATGCCTCCTCAAGTAATCGTTCGTACTTAATTATCAAATTTGACCCCCGAACACGATCCCAGCTTAATTCCTTGAGCTTTTACTCAGACTTCAAAGCTTCAAATCACTTAAATTCATTCCATAACATCTATATAGCTCGGAATCACACCTACAAGGCATAAAACACACAATTAGTGCAAAACACTAGCGATTAAAGCGCAAACTCAATTAAAGTGCAGTAAATTAGAGTGTAATAAGCGACTAAAATACGTAATTATAGCCTATCATCACCTTCCATCAAAGTTCTATATTTGCCCCTATTTTAACAGCTGGGACACGTGGCATATTGTAGGAGAAAGAACCAGTACAAAAATAAAAAAACTCCAAACCGCCCTAGAACTCATGACCCGCATGCTCGTTTTTTCTCTCTTAATTTTTTTCCAAACTTCTCTTAAATAAAAACTATTAATCCGTGTAAGAGATTATCTTAGTCTGACAAAGAGATGAGGTTCAAAGACACAAGGTTCTGTCATCTCTTTGCTTGTTGCCATCATTTTTTCTTTACTTCTATTTTCTTACTCCTCACTCCCTTACATTTTTTTCTTCCTCTTGTTATCACTGAATGAAACTCGACCTTTGAAAACAAAACTGCTTGAAGTCGCCCACAATTCCTTGCATATGTATTTTCTTTCAATCTCATTGATTTAAAAAAAAAATTGAAATAGGTGTGGCAGAAAATTTGAAACTTCAGACGGGCTTGATGGAATTCTTTCTCCGGCGATCTCAAAACAACGATAGGAGGTTGGGTCCAATTTCGAACAGTTCAATGAAGCTGGGGAAGTAATTTCTAAGGCTAAAATAAATATAGTAAGATTTCATACATGCCCAAGTACTCAAGACCATTCACGAAGTCACGCCGGCGCCGGAAATTGTGTCTTTGAACCTCATCTCTTTGTCAGACTAAAATAATCTCTTACACGGATTAAAAGTTTTTATTTAAGAGAAGTTTGGAAAAAAATTAAGAGAGAAAAAACGAGCATGCCGGTCATGGGTTCTAGGGCGGTTTGGAGTTTTTTGTTTTGTACTGGTTCTTTCTCCTACAATATGCCACGTGTCCCGGCCGTTAAAATAGGGGCAAATATAGAACTTTGATGGAGGGCATGGGTAAAATTGGACGGAAAGTATAACGAGGGATAGGATTGAATAATAAAATAAAGTATAGGGATATATCAGGCCCTTTTCCGTATTCAAAATGTGCCACGTGTCCCGACCGTTAAAATAGGGGCAAATATAGAACTTTGATGGACGGCAGGGGTAAATTTCGACGGAAAGTATAACGGGGGACATGATTAAACAATAAAACAAAGTAGAGGGATATATCAGGCTCTTTTCCGTTTCGTAATATTATGTAATCTGCAACTTTTTCCTTTTTCTTTTCAAAATATTGCTTCAATTTT